TAGAGAGGATGGTGTTCTTACATTCTCATCTAGCACTTTAAGGTGAATTCAGTGTTTAAATCCCTGAGAATAACAAATGTTTAAGAAAAACATGAACCATCTTTCAAATTAAGACTATAAATGTCCTGAGTAAATTTGAAAAGCCCTCTTTGTAGATGCATTAGACTGAGTTCCTGTTTGGTTCTGCCTGGATGGAAGTAGTTTAAATATTTATTTATTGTCCACACTCCGCCTTCACTTTCTGATCTAATTGGTGTGGAATAATACACTCCTGAACATGTCAGTTTAGCTTTCAGGCTTTATCTAATAAGTTAAAACTTGCACTTTGAAAGGTGTTTTAATATTGTTGGCAATCTTTACTAAAACCAATTGGGTACAGCCAAGACAAGCAAACTAATTTCTGTGTGGCTTGTGCCCTGTGTCATTAATGAGGCTAACAACCCATTTTACAGATGCCCCAGTTAGAGTTATTTGAAAGATGTACCAACAGCACTGAACTAAAAGTGTGTCCATCCAAATTACTTTCATTCTTCAGTGTTCAAGTGTCATTTAACCTTTTGAAATTAGATGAGTTCTGGTTAAATAGGAAAGTTTATGGAAATGAGAATTGATGCAAGGAACAGCAACAGCTCTACAGCCTTTCAAATACTACTGTATGTGGAACCAACCTGAAACTATTACTGCTAGTAATGATAATAACGGTGAAAATAATAATAGCACAATGTTATTTATTTCATTTTTGCTCACATTTCTTCTAGTGAATGAACACAACTTCAGCAGACAGATTCACTGTCCTGCTCAAAGACAGTGGCTGAGCAAAGGTGCATCTGGATAAGCTTTTGCCATGCACCTATGCCTTTGTTATTATTATATTTATTGCGTATTTATTTTATATTGCAGATTATATTGTGATTCTGGGATTAAGTAGACCAACTGAATACATTTTAAAGTAACCCTCCCAGCCCTGGGGGTGCATTAATTGCTGATTTATTATTTAAGACGTTGAGCACTTAACCTCCCGATCATTTATTATCATTGATGCCTGTTTTTGAACTGTACTTTGTACCTTTACGAGGGGTATGCGGTTCTCGCCAGGTAGCGGGTCCAATTTAATGCTACAGCTGCACATGCACGCGACATTTGCCTGCGGTGCCAGTCTGCCAGGTCTGGGCTCCACCACTAGGCTTCCCATCGGCCTATCGCTGCTCTCCCGCGTTCTGACGTCAACACCCGGAAGCACCGAGCTGCCTGCTTTGTTTTGGTAGTAGGAGTTAGATAATAAAACAGAGACAGGCAGAGGTCCATTTGAGGGAGAAGTGCTCACTAAATGGGGTGAGCTAAATCGGGGATGGAAGATGACGAACCGATAAATGACGCCTCTAAAATGCCGAGTTTTATCAGTAGTTTCGAGGAGGGTAGGGTGAAATTGTCCCGTAACCTGCCGACGGAAACTTCCTTCGTGGACGGTAAAGTTGAGCGGCCGACCAGAGATTTGAGCCGACGTGTCACCAGGTCAAGCTCACGGTTATCACTCGACGGAGCAGATGGGGAGTCGGGCGAGAGGAGCGGCGACGAGGAGAGGGATGCGGAGGGCAATAACAACAACAACTGTAACGGGGGAGGAGAAAGGAGGAGGGCGAGCGCTGTCGAGATTTTGAAGAGGAGTGTGGGGGTTTCAAAATCGCCTTCTCTCCGTTTAAATACAATCAGTCGGATGCAGTGCGGCGCCGAGCATGAAACCCACGAAGAAAACGTTAATAACGACCTTGGCCATGGGAGTGAATGTGGTGATTGCAAAAAGTCGGACCCAGAAACGGGCGAAGCTGGGTCGGAAAACAAACCAACCTTAAGCGAGTTGACGGCTTTGGATGGACAAGGAGTTGAATATTTAACAGTTACCGGTCAGTGCCATCATAAATCTGACAATGACAGCAACACGGTCACTTTAGACGAGCCCTTTAGTGTCACAGAACACGTTTATTGCACCGTTTACTGCATCGCCAACGACAGTCATCGGAAAGACGTTGAAATCACAGACAGTTACGATGAAACGGTCACATCTGACGCACCAGAAATGGACCTGGAGACAGGACAGGACGCAGGTTCGAGTCCCGAACCGCCACTCTATACATTGGACGACCTGGTGGATCCTTTGGGGGATATGGCCCACCAGCTGTACACTGAGCATACCACTGCGGAGAGTGCGATGCAGAGTTGCCGGGTGTGCCTGGAGGAAAAAACCATCGCACCCCTGACCTGCTGCAGAAAGGCCGTGTGTGAGGAGTGTCTGAAACTGTACGTCAGCTCCCAGGTTGGTACAAGGGAGGGTGAGCAAAGCAAAGGGGGTAGGTAGTGACCCGGTGATGGCCAGCAGCCTGTCCCAGAAGCAGGCAGTGCTGGGCCTCTCTGCAGCTGTTTGAGGTGTCCTTGAGCACCAGTAACACACACACACACACACACGTTGCCACATTGTTTATGTGTTATGTTTGACAGCTCATCTACCCTAAGGCATGGGCATGGCTGGATATTCTGGGAACCATGGAAAAATATTTGGATCTCTCACCAACAAATTGACTCCATATGTTTTAAATGCTTGAGAAAAATATGTAGTGAAGAGTTCCAGCGGGCTCTGCATTGTTATTTAGTTGAAATTATTAGTAAAATGTCACAGGCCAACATCTGCAGGCCTCCTCATCTTGGTATAACAGCAAGTTTTCTGTGAATCTGGGTCATTGGTACATTCTGCAGTAAACTTAGGGATGCTTTTAATCACTGTTGGGCTTATTCAGCAGAATTTCTTTCTCTCACCTATTTAAGAATGAGTCCACTCTCAGACACAGTACTGGTCTTCTGTTATATTTGGTCTAGTTACAGTCCAACACAGCCTACAGGTTTCTGCATTGTGTCCTACACTTCCCAAGAAAATGTGGCTGAGTTTCCCAGCAGTGTGTTTTAGGAGAGAGTAATTTTTTTTAATCAGCGTGAGTGGAGTCAGAATATATTGGACACAGGACGCCTTGTGTCTACAATGCATTCTGTTCTAATTAGTTTACTGGGGTGTACTTAGCGGCTTCTTCTACAGAGGACGTCTTCCCTGTATGACTTTTTGAATATTGATGTATTTTGAGATCTTGCTCATTGATTCTGATGAGTATTTTCACCGATACATCAAGAAAATGAATAATTGATAGATGAAACATTTATGTCCATTAATCTCCAGTGTTTGCCATGAAAGTAGGGACAAACTTTGAAAGGCTTGTTGATGACTCTTTTTTTTTTTTTTTTGTCTTTAAGTACCTTTTTCAGGAGCTGGTGCCAGTCAGCAGTCTTCTGATTATAATCCTAGTTTTGATCGACTCTGTGGCCTTCCCCTGCTACTGATATTTTACCTAGTGGTGAGAACTTAAAATCGTAGGTCCTTGTTACTGTTGCAATAATCTGCTTTAATCGGCTTTGATAAAACAGTGTTTATCAGCCACCCAGACTACTTTATATCTGCAATGCTTTGATAACAACCATACAAAGACAAGAGACAAGCAGACTCTGTGATAAGCACACTGAGAAGGTGATAACAGTCATGTAAACTGTCCTGTGTAGGTGGAAATGTTTTCTGTTATTGTACTGCACACTCATTTTACCAAACGTTGTCAGCCCTCAGCATTCAGTCAGAGAGTTCCCAATATGTTATAGAAAGCACCCTTGGATGGGGTTCAGGGTATTGCTCCAGGGATGGAAGGTGTGGTGCTAACCATTCTATTGTGCAAGGGGTTCAACGAGCAACTACAGTAACTGGTGATTTATCAGTTTCCTTGAATAAAGGCTGTTTTAGTGGCATTAAATCTTTTAAACAAATAAAGGCTGTAATGTGGTTAAATTTTGCATTTGTACTACCACTACTCGGAGTGACCGAACCCGGATATTTTAGCTAACTATTACATTTAGCAAAGTATTTAAACTGTTCAGCAGAGATGTGCACTGAAACCTGGTGCCATATTGGCACCGGTTCCTATACAGTTGGTATCTAACAGACCGAATCACAATGCAGATTTCAGTGCCTCATTTCGGTGCCACTTAAATGCCTGCTGATTGAGATATTTGCCCTCTGGTGCTGTGAAACAGACAGTACAGGCAACAGAAGCATCACTGCACGCCATGCGCTAACGCCATCATTATGCTCAGAAGTTATTATACCATCACTGCACATTTCTCTTTAACCCTCCTGTTATGTTGCGGGTCAAATTGACCCACAAACATAACTGCTTTAAATGAGACAAATATTTGATACGAAGAAATGAACATAACAGGAGGGAAACCTCCTGTTATGTTCATTTCTCAGGTGATGCCTGCTCAGCAGTTATGTTCGTGGGTCAATTTGACCCGCAACATAACAGGAGGATTAACAAGTCTACAAGCATCTGCACTTTACTCTAGTTTGTAACTTCACTGCTCAGGCTACGTATAAGCTATGTACACATACAGATCATGTCATTTGTTAGGTTTAGGTTTAACTGTTTCAACTTGTAGCTAAATACTTAAAAGTCTGTAAATGATTTATCCAGCTGTCTATTCTAATAGCTAAGAAATGAAACTTGTCACCCATTACTTTTAGCTAACAGTTTTGTTTTCTATTACTTGTAGCTAAGTTCTTCAAAAGTGTTACCTTTCTCTGCAAATGTTGTTTTAATAGTTTATTCATTACCTTGAGTGAACTGTTTCAACTAGTTATCCATCATCTTTAGCTACTTAGTTTTCAGGCATCACAAGACATGATGTTTTTTTTTTTTTTTTTAACCTTTATTTATTCAGGGTAGGTCCATTGAAAGGCTACCTCTTTTTTTCAGGGCCTTGCTCAAGGGCATCACACTGATGTTAATGAGTGTGAGGCGAGCATTGTTTTGTCATCTGCCGCACCCAGATTTAATCCTGCCAGCCTGGGGATTGACTCGGCGATCCTCCAGTCACTTCTCTAACCTTTAAGCCACCACTGCCTTACTAGAACTGACTCAGGCTGCTGGACAGTTTACTGGTTTTATGTTAACAACCTGCATCACGTTTGTAGTCCTGTGTGTCCCTGTCAGATATGTAGGTATATTTTGACTCAAATCAATCACGATTTCTAGTTTAAGTTGAGTTTAGCAGAAATACACCTTGGGGTATGAACACTCCTGGTTCAAGTCGCTGCTGTGTGGTTGACAACACCATAATATGCACCAACCATAGACACAGTACTGTCTCTGCATACTGACAATACGTAGTACTAGTTTTGGCTTTGACTGAGCTTGCTGACATCACTGTCTGGTGACGACTATATGCCCATTGTAAGCTTAATGAATTCATTTACAGTTTAAATGAGTTCAGCTTTATGCCAGCTTGTTTTTATTTTATGAGAATGCAGCTACACAAAGTGGCACGTGTGCCTGTTTGTGTAAGAGACATATGATGTGGCAGCAGTGCGAACCTGTTTAACCAGTCTGACAGTGGTCGATACAGCATTACTGTTGTAGCAAGAATAGAAACACCTCAGGTCTCATGCCTGCAGAGGATACATTTTCATAATAAGGTAGTGTGTGTGTGTGTGTGTGCTGTAGGAAATGCTGGGTGTAACACAGTCAGATGCTGATGCTATTACACTTTGTATTATGTTTGCACACACCTGCACACATATGCGTAGTGCCAAAATGCCTTATCATGTGTCAGTACAACAGGTCTCACTGACTCTTGATATACTGAAAGTGTTGGGAGAGAGTGAATGAGGCCGAAAGACAATATGACATGAGTAAGCTAGAAAGAGAGAACTAGAGAAGAAGAGATCCCCAGAGGAAAAAAGGGAATAAAAAGGAGTTTCAGATGGTGAAAAAGAAAGAAGAGATGTTCTCGGTGTACAGTATCATTAGATGAGCTCTGAACTCACATGTTTGGATCACTTTGGTATTTACTCCACCCATGTTTTAATTTAATGACTTCTTTGATAAAATATTGTTAACTGACTAATACAAACACTTACTCAAGCATCCTAAATGAATTTATTTGTTTAGCTTAGGAAACAGTGCACCGAACTCAGAGCATCACCTCCGTCCTGTCCCATGTGATCAATGTGTGGATAGGGTCCACTGACCGCCAAGCACTGGGCATGGATTAAAATGTGTGTGTGTGTGTGTGTAAATACATATTAACTTCCGGTCTCTCTTCTGCTTCTCAGCTACCTCTTCTTCCCCCTGTTTTTTATGGTAAATGATTAAGTATTTCCCATCAATGGTGTGAATATGTTCCATATGTAGATCTGGTACTAACAGTCCACTCCTACGTATATCAGAGAAACCCACTACAAACAAAGCCAGAGTCCTCATGATGGTGTACATAGCACACAGATTTTGACTGTGCAATATGTGTGATGTCCTTAGCAGTAACGTGTAAACTTCACATACAAACTGCTAAGTGATTGTCCTGCAGCAATATGCACTCTTTAATGGTATTTAACATGTCTGGTATGTTTCCCAGGTGCGAGTGTCCAAGCCTTACATCATCTGTCCAATCCCAGAGTGCAGTGGCTACCTGGACGAGGGAGTGGTGATTGCACATTTGACAAGTGAGGACGTGGCGAAATATCGCTATATTCTGGAGCTGAGTCAGCTGGATGCGAGCACCAAGCCCTGCCCCCACTGCAGTCAGTTCACTTCTCTGAAGAAGCACAACCCCAACCGCTCTGAATACAAGTACAAGGTAAGATGATGGTTACAGCAAATTCATAAGAAAACCGAATTCCACATAAAACTATGTGATTTAAAGTAATAAATGTAACTGAAAGATGGGTCTGATGTCCCTATTGTAGATCCAGTGTAGCAACTGCCAGTTTGTGTGGTGCTTTAAATGTCACGCACCCTGGCACGAAGGCCTCAAGTGCCGCGACTACAGGAAAGGGGACAAGCTGCTACGAACCTGGGCAAGCGTCATAGAGCACGGACAAAGAAATGCCCAGAAATGTCCACAGTGCAAGGTATGAACTGGGAACAGCAGAGGATACAAGCTATTATGATACAGTTGTTTTGCTCTAGAGTGTAGTGGTGAGAGGATGTGAGGTGGGCATGTGCAGAAATGGAAAGGGAGGAGACCAAAGGACTGTGGAATCGGTGTACATGAATAAATCGATGAAGGTTGAGAAGCATTAAGCAGGGGCGGATGATTGATGGGGAGCTGTAGATGCAGGCACAGATTTCAGTTGCATGCGGTGGAGCAGATCAGAGACACATATTGAACATACTGAAAAAATAATGATGCTGTTTCTGCTGCACTAAACCATATCTGGCAGACTCACTGGCATCTCTCTCACCAACATAAAACAAGCCTGGTCTTATCTCACAGTGTCATTACAACCAAGTTAGTCCACACAATATCTAATTTGACTGTCAGAAAATGACTAAAGGAAGACATCAATTAAGATAATTACCGGTATATGGGAAATGTATGTTCACAGCAGTAAACTCTTCCCATCTGTGTTTGTCACACTGCTGCTTCATGTCTCAGAGCCTCTGCTCCAGAAGCAAGGGGAGAGGATTGCGTTTGACTGTGAAGCCAGCAAATTGGTGTCATGCTGTGTTTAGCCAGAAAAGAGGCTGAGAGCAGCTAAGCTTTAATGCTCAGTTTGTGGGAAGACTGCTCACTGCTACAGCAGCCAAGTTGTGAGGATCCATTAACTTGACTGCTGCCATGTGAGTGGATGCTGAACCACATAGTTATAGTTTTCAGTGTGAACATAAGAGAAACCTCTGCCAGTATTGCTTGGGAAATTGTGCTCATTTTACAATAGACTGAGCTGAGGTTATCATAAGGATGTATTTAACTTGTGTAACTGACCTTTGAGATAATACATACAGCTGTTGGTGACTACGGTGTATGTGGAGGCTGAGAACTATTACATTTCTCTCTTTTCCTGTCTTTAGATCCATATTCAGCGTACAGAGGGATGTGACCACATGACCTGTATGCAGTGTAACACAAACTTCTGTTACCGCTGTGGAGAACGCTACCGACACCTAAGGTTAGAACTCGTGTTTAATAAACTCTGTGACGTCCTTGCTCGTCTTTTTTCACTCCGCTTTGATTTCATCTTCCACTTTATTTTGCTGGCAGGTTTTTTGGGGACCACACATCCAACCTCAGCGTGTTTGGCTGCAAGTATCGCTATCTACCTGACAAACCTCATCTGAGACGGTTGATTAGAGGGTCTGTCTGTGGTGAGTTGGTGTGTGTGTGATAGGCTTTTTGCCCATATTGAGTGAGGGTCAGAAATATTGAGTTTTACATTACTGTTTCTTCTGTGATTAGGCTTTACTGGAGGGTTTAGGGTTTCAACGATGTGCCAGACTCACTGCAGTCAGTGAGTTATATAGTAATAAACCGTTGTTGATGATAAACAGTTTTTCTTTATGCTGTTTTCACTTTTTTCCAACCTGCTTTATTTACCCTAATTCTGCTCTCCATAGCTCCATAAATTGTGTATTAGAGTCAGCAGTGCTGATAGAAAAAAAGAGAAATGTTTTAGATATCGACTGGGTTTTCTGGCTCATCTTCTGGCACTAGAGTAACTAGCACTTCTGTGAGGCACAGTAGTGTTTTGAGCTAAATACTAATATTAGTATGCATGGATAAATACTGTAGTCAAAATGCAACATACTGTATCTCACTGGTGTATTGCTAATGGCCTATTGCAAGTGACTTGGATTTACCTCTGGATAGCATAGCGGCATGAGGGAACGCATCCATATCCTGTACTTGCAGTGGTAATTCAGGAAAGCTTTATAATGAAGTGTGAAAGCATCACACACCAGAGTATGTTAGTCATAATTATCCGTTCAGAGTTATCAAATGTATGCACTAGTAGGCCTGGAGGAAGTTGAACACGTCTGACAGAGCTGTTTGACTCCGCTCTCCGTGACAGCTACAGCTAGTTATGTCAGCAGGGTGCCTGCCGAACCGGGAGCAAATTCGTCCCTTGACAGGGACCATTTAGGCTTTACAGCTCTCATTGCTGTTCCCATTCCACGGACTGTCAGTGGCACAGACTTTGCATTTAATAATAGACATTTTATTGTAGCTGGTGTTGATCATCTTTGCTAAAATCTGTTCAGTCATTTATACAACTATGCACTCACTGGTGACTGAACATTGTGAAATTAAAATATAAAACAAGATTTAACAAAGCAAGCCATCACATTTGAATCATGCAATTTGTGTCCCGTCTGAAAAGAACATTTATTCTCTGTGAACGCTGATCATTCTCTCTGTCTGTTTTCCTCTGCAGCCGCTAAGGTGCTGATAGCTCCAGTGGTCATCCTGTTCGTCGTGGTGCTCGGAGCTCTTGCACTGGTGATAGGTAATTATACACATGACAACACAGGGAGAAGCTCTGGGTGCAGCAGTACACCGATAATAGCTACATGGTTTGGCTTCATTACAGATGTTTTCTTCCACACAGCAAAGCAGCTGCACTGTCTGTGACATTTTCAGTTGCAGGCATCTCTGTCTTTTATGTGAGACAAGTGGACCGTTACTGTAAAAAAAAAAAATGCTAGAGCTGTAGATCCAGATCTCTGGGTGATTGACTTTTACTCGCCAGTGCTACATTTACTAGTAACGTCATCCAACTAGAGACTCTCTGAGCCTTCTGTCAGGCTGTATTGTGAACTATTGATGCTTCAGCTGAGCTATAATTAGTGTTGATTTCTTTGTTGTGTCCTTAAGTTTGACAGATGATCCGCTGCAGGCTAACACGCCATGATGACAGATTCATATTTATTTTTGTCATTAATAGAATCAGTGTAGAGCAGTCTTTTCCAGCTAAATTAATTTCACATATAAATTAGTTTACAGTTGCTTTTAAACTAAATTATCAAATCCATATATAAACATCATCAGAGCTTAACATTAACATACAACTCAAGATGTGAAGTCGGTTAGTGTCATTAGAAACAACAATCATTTCCTTTAATTCATCATCTCTTTTCCACTTCCTGCCTTCTTTGTTTGCAGGTTTGGTAGCTTTCCCAGTCTATTATGTGTGTAGGAGGAAGAAGCAGCGCACTCAGGGAAATGGACGGTGGATCTGAAACTTTCTCTGCACACACACAGCCTGAAAAGACGACGCCCACACCTCCTCAGGGACAGACATGTCAGCATGTGTCATCACAAAAGTCTGGGACGACCATAAGAAAATCAACACTTGCAATTAGTGAGGATCTTTCAGATGGAAGGACGTACACGAACCTATAAATGTGAGGCCTGGATAATTGCACATCATCACATTGAGAATATTTAAATCTTAGGAGACCACTCCTGCAAAATCAATGCCTTTGGAGGATAGTGGGTATTCAAGCTGAAAAGGACACAAAACCCTGCAAATTTAAGTTTTATTCTGGAGGAACCACTGTCTTGTGCAGTGCTGGTCACATAATGGAGATTTATGTTTGCACATCTTTAAACTTCACTAGCTTTCACAGCCGTCAGCTATTTTAAAGCGAGGACTTTGCTGCTCTCCAGCTCTTGTCCCAGATATATTACAGGGAGTTTCAGCTGTGCACATTTGCAGCTTTTCATTTTGCTGTTACACCTTTAAAAACAGCTGTCTTTCAAGAGAGCAACGTGGGCAATAGAGGGATGCACATGTGAGAATGTGTTAAAGTAGCACGTTCAAACCCCATTGGTCAGTTGTGATGAGAGGCTTTCACATTGTTGGATACCAGGAAGAAGTGAACAATGAGGAAATGTGAGAAAATAATGTCTTCCTTACTTGCAGATGTTGTTTCTGCTGCAGTTAACAAGGAAAATCTGCAACATGGAAACTGAATTTGGAACAAGCCATGATGGAAACATGAATTCTCACTGATGCAACAAATGCTGGACATTGACTTTGTTATCATCCTCATTATGATTGAAGTTACTGACATGCACACACAGTAGAAACTAACATACAAGGACCAAACTTGAAAGGATGACACTTTGCTGTTCTTGGCCAACCAGGTTAACACTGACTCTGAGGTTGTGTGTCTCGGCCCAAAGAGTGACTTTTTCCCAGACACACATTCCACCCTCTGGCCCCTAAATTCAATATCTGAAGCTTCAGTCACATTTTAGTGAGCGTCCATGTTCTGTTGTGGTTGTCCATCAGCGTCTCCCCTATCTGCCTCTGTCTTCCTCTTGTCCACCCTCCCTGCCTCTCTGCATAATGGCTCACACACACACACCCTCCCTCCCTGCCTGGCAGCGCTTCTCTGCTCTGCTCACACGCTGTATGCCAGTATCTGCATCTTCGAAGGTGCTGTGCAGCAACTGTGCCAAAATGCTGAACGTGGCAGGACAGACAGTTAACCTGCCTAATTGCTGTTTTTTATTATTATTATTATTATTGTGTTGTAGGGGTGGCCTGCAGAGATTTGGGTGGTGATGCTGTCAATGTGTTGCGGAGTCCACACAAGTTGAAGGCATAATTATTCTGAAGATAGTTGTGAACGATCCAGAAGTGCTTAAGCTAAGACTAAAAATGAAAATGACTGAGCATACTGTTGCGAATGCTGTAGATAAAGTATTTAAGGTTTTTGTTTTTATCGTAGTGTGGATGGTGGCTTGCCAAAGAGCTAAACAGGATGTTGGAGGTGACCCTCAGGCTGCTGTGCACTGAATATGAGGTAGATTAAATCTAGATATAAATTATAAGATGATCAGATTTTCAAGATTTTTAAAGATTATTTTAAATGATTTGGTTTTGTTTTGGATTTTGCAGTGAAAAGAGGAGGTGTGTCTGAGAACTGGTGGTTTTAAACGTATACAAACCACTGTAACTCATTCACACCGGCATATAAGAAAGCACACCTGTGGAGTGCTGCCAGGGAACAAGAGATTTTCAAGAGCTTTCAAGGTTGTCACCTGGCACCAGCCAGCCGACCGTCCTTTTCTTATCCCTCTGCCCTCTTCCCCCCGCTCTCGTATCTGCATTTTGTTTTACAGGTGCTTGTGTTTCCCTCTGTTCTCTCACTTTCCTAACATCTTTTGTTCACCCTGTCCTCTGAAGTGTAACTGGACTGACATCCCTCTGACCTCAGCTGTAAGCCGAGGCTGTTTAGTACAAAAGGCCCAGTTGAAAAAAAAAAGTGCACATTCACTGAAGCTGTGGCTGCTGCTCATCCACAACAAAACCATCCAGGTGGGATGGTTGTGAGCCTCTGATAGGTGATAACACAGAGCTACCTGCAGCGCATGTCAGTGGTTCTCTTGCCACTTGATGGAGGGACCTGAGTTGGATTGCTCCTTCAAGAGAGTTCACCAAGATGCTTTAATGGAGAGATTCAAGGAAAACCAACAAAAAGAAAGGACAAGCACAAGACATCTGCACATAAGAGATACTAGAGTGAGAAAAAGATGTGGACTGACACAATAATGAAAGGCTGAGGTGTGATTTTGTTGGTTGGTGCATTTTAAAAACTAGGGAGAATGAATGAGACTTGCACTAAATCTGGCATTTATAGCATGAAGGGTTAATAATCATGGCCAGTTTGCAGTGTAGGGACATTGGCTTGGCTTTATCCTGGAGATCTGAAACATTTTCTACACCTGGGAGTTGATAAATACCAACAGTTGAGTGCATGCAAACTGTATGCACTCAACTGTACATACAAGCTTCCTAAAAGCCCCAGAAAATGCACTGTTACTTACTAATTTCATCAGTCCTAAGAGGCCCAGACTCTGGGTTTGAAAGCACTCTCAGGGAGTCTGTTTTTCTCCTCACTGTACTCAAAGCCCTCATCTACATGAGCTGTGCCACAGAAATTGCTGAACGCCACTGTGGACATAAAAATACTTCCTGATACCTTTGCCCAGAGCTACTTAGCAACCATATTTAATTTCAGGAAGAAGAAACACTGTAGTGTCAAAGCAGATTCAAATATCTCAGTGTCATAAACACTGTCTATGCTTTCCAGCCTGACAGTGTATGAGTCAGCACCGGGAAATGAAATGTGCAAGTTGTACGCCAAACAGAAACATTGAAAATGTCCACTTCACTGTTATTTTGCAATATCTGCATATGTTTTATCTAGCTGCTCAGCAAATACTACACTGACGTCTTGAATTGCTGCATTGCTTTGTTTGCCATATAACTGACTGAGGGCGCGATGGACATTTGTGCTATAAATTGTCTTCAGCACAGAGAATGAGATTAATTTAGTAGGAGCTGTTTTTCTTATGACATGGAACACGCATTTGTAACAGTTTCCACAATACTGTATGTTATCAAAAGCTGGGCCCTGTATTGTATACTGTGCCACCACTGAAACAATTAGTCGATTATTAACAAATGACATCTTTGATTATTGATGAATCATTTACATCATTTATCAGGTACAAAATACATTTGGCCAAACAAAGTCAGCATCTTCACAGAAACTGACTTTATTCAGTCAGTGACATGAAAGGTGTTTGAGCCAGTGATGGCTGATACCCCCTGGCCTTTTTGTTTGTGTTACTGGTGCCTTCACAGCCACTATAGATCAGGGTTTGCCAACTTGTGGTTCAGGTCCTGTGCGTGAGTCCAAAGATTACAAGTGGGGGTAAAATCTATCATAGCCTCGCCATGGTGCCTGTTATGTCTTAGAACAGCTAGAGGACAGTGTAGTATATCATGGGTTAGGGCACCTAATGTGTAAGTAAAGTGTGTGGAACTACTGTTACCCCCTACATGTGTGTCCTGTACAATTAGGCTTTCATTAACAGTGTGTTTTTCTGTTAAGATGAAGATCTAAAATCTTACAGGTACATCAATCCAGGGTGTCAGCTGCATCCCAAATACTCTTGAAGTTTTGCACAAGTTAAACTGTGACTTTATTTTGGCTCATACCCGTCTTACTCTCTGGGCCTTGTATGTTGAAACAAGGAAACAGTAGCACCATGCGTCTTGCTGCCAACAAAGATGACTGGTATTGGACTAACATGCTCAGTGGAGAAAGCGACTACCAGAAAGATGTGCTGTGGACAATAGATTATTCACTCATTTCAGCTCAGGACACCTTTGGACATTCAATTTGCAGTGTCATCACTAACGTCAGGATGGACTTTCACAGTCTAAACATGCGGACTGGTTGGAAAAACAGCCATGTGTTTATGTGTATACATCACTTTGTTTTCAGGGGAATTTCTGCTCAAACAAATGTCTTGATTACTGTGCTCCTTATTTGAACAAAGAACACATTATTCCACCTGCTGCCGTTCTTAACACTGTCTGCTGATGTTATTATTGCTCACTTAGCCAGGCACATACACTGTTTTCTTCTGAGGATCTGAATAAACAAAACCGGGTCAAATGCCAAAATGTCATGATTTGACTTGTTGGATAATAATAACTGGCTAGGGCATCAGTCTACCTTTTTAGTGACATCTCTGATTTATCCATCCATCCATCCATTATCTATACTGCTTATTGCTGAATAGGGTTGTGGGGCCTGGATCCAATCCCAGCGGACACTGGGTCAGAGTCAGGGTTCACCCTGGACAGCTCCCTAGTCTGTCACAGGGCTTCTCTGATTTATGTAATGCTCTTTTATGCTGTCTGCACTGCAGTTGTGACTACAGCTTTACATCAGCAGGGGTCATTATCACACCACAGGAGAAAAATCCCCATCACCTTACTTTCTGAATGGAACAATACAAATACAGCGTTTTACAGGCATACTCAGTGTGACCAGAAAATTTCCACATTAGGTAATATTACTGGAAAGACACAATGTATATAATTGAACAGTTATTAAATTATGCATAAATAATGAAAATAACAATTGAATCACTGAATATTTGAGTCCCGTTATTATTCTTTGTTAGTATAGTACATGAACACCAGTGGTGTTTTCACCCAAGTTCTGTATTTAAGTTTAGTTTCGAGGTACTCGTCTTACTTTTATTTTCTGTAACCTTATACTTGTACTTTGCTGTTTTAGAGGGGAAACGCCGCTACATTAGATTGAAGTTCTTTTTACACTTGACCGTATTAATAACCGTGTACACTGACAAAAACATTTGTCTTTATAGCATTAAAACCCGTGTGTTATTCATTCATTCACACAGAAAGGTCCCGTGTGTTATTGTTTTTCCAAAACAGGAAATGTGACCGGTAAATAAGTGAATTAGCGGGAGATGATTGGTCCGTGCTCCAAGCTCCGCCTATAGCTGAACGAGCGCGTGACATCCAGGGAAACCCGAGCAACCACATACACACCCCAACTTAGCGACCGGTGCTGCGCGTGCTACCGTGCCTCGCCTCTGGAAGAAGCTCACCTGGCTGCCTCTGATGGAGACCAGACAACAAGGTGGGTCAGTAACGTTAAAGGCAGACATTTCTACTTTTTTCGTTCAGACGTTACTTGAAGCGAGTTAGTTGCTTGTTTGCTGTTGATCTGATAGTGAGCTTGACTGTCGACGTCACCGTTGAGGCTGGAGAAGTAGAAAGAAAGTAGCACACATCATAAAATACTGGGAAAGTTAAATAATTGAATAGTGCCAGCTTGTAGCCAAACTCGTTCTTTATGACTATGACTCTGCGTATAATGGCTTTTAGACAGACACGTCTAATGCATACCGTGTATACTTTTACAGCACCGTGCGCCAGTGCACAGTAGTGTTTATTCTAGATAACATTGATACTTGGATCAAGTCAAGTTCTGCAACTAAATAGCTACTGTTTCCTCAGAGGTCATCTGCTGCGGTATTTTTTTTTATCACGAGTATTAGAATATAAAAATGAGCAACTAAAGTACTAATAATGACTCTGACATCCATGTAAGCAGTGGGAGAAAGATTATGTTTCTTTATATGTAAAAATAATTGTTTTCTTTTGCATTCCACATTTCAATGTGCACCTGTTAGAGGACTAACAGGCTCTGAGTCCAGAGCTGGACCAGGACAGAACTCTTGTTATTGAACATGATATTTTAGGGTGCTTATGATTTAGCATAGCCACATGTCCTTTTGGCTAAATGGGAATCCTGTGGCCAGAGTTATTTCACCACAGACAAAAAGGGAGACACAGAGAAATGAGAGTAAAGAAGGGAAGTGGTAAAATGCATCAGATATTGTGTCAGTGAATAAAAACAAAGCCAGAATGCTTATTAAAAATATCAGATTAAACTGATGAGTGCTAGCCGTCATCATGTGAGAGAAAGGCCTTCAGAGTCACTCATCACCTGATTTGATCTCTTATAATGATGTGTTATCAGAAGTGTTTCAGACAAATGTGGCCCCCTGGGAAAAAAAATAGATCTAAAGAAAATGAAAGTTTTTCTATTTATTTTTGAATGATATTGTCAGTGAGTATGCCACCCTTCATGTGTAGCTATGCTTCACACTGAACTGTGACCGTCTCTTCCCAGTAAAAAGCAGTGTACCAGTCAGTTTTACCACAGTTGAGACTGTGGAACTGGAAGGAAACGACACTGGCCTTGTGCTGGCCTGCTTCCTCCTGTAGTGCTGCAGGATGATCTAAGGCAGATTTCATCAACTACCAAAGAATTCTGATTGCTCAGCCATCTTGGATATTCTTGCCTATAATTTACCATTGTTAACTCTGTGAC